TATCCACTGAGCCAAACCGGTTAGGGCAGTAGATTATATTTTTGTTCACTACTATTCACTGCCTCTCCCTTTGGAGGGATTATACTTTTATGCATCATTGACCTCAATTTGGCCACATTACTTGCTTTGGCCAATAAAATGTGAGTGAAAGTAACATGTGCCACTGCAAGCAAAGGCATTCAGAACTATCTCATGGTTCTGCCATGGCTCCTTCCCCCTTCACGTGGGGGTTGCTCCTTCAGCCTGGATGAAGAGGATACAGAGCATGGCTGCAGCTGACCTATAAAGGACTTGTAAATGAGTAAGAAATAACCTTTCTTGTAAGGACTTGAGATTTTGCAGTTGTGCTACCACATCACAACTTAGCTCAGGCTAAATAGTCCCCAGACTCAAATGTGTTTCTGAACACATACAAGTTATGGTGCCTATGAAGAGCAAGTTCTAGAAGTCTTTTCTGCCACCCTTTGATTTAGTTAGGTCCCTGGGTCATAAATCTGATTTTTTTTAATCCTCATCTGAGGATATACTTACTGATTTTTAGAAAAAGAGGGACAGAGAGAGAGAGAGAGAGAGAAACATCAATGTGAGAGAGAACATCAACTTGTTGCTTTCCATATGTGCCCCGACCTGGGACTGAAACTGCAACCTAAGTATGTGCCTAAGTGGTAACCGAGCCCACAACCCTTCAATATATGGGACAATGTTCCAACCAACTGAGCCACACTGGCCAGGGCCCTAAATCAGAATTTTATGTTACTCAGTGTAAATGCAAATGGTACCTACCTAGAAAGCATTATAACGATCCCATTGATAAGAAGGAGTGATAAGACAGAAAAATTAGATATTCATCTTTCATAATGATGTTATTTCCAGCTACAATACTTTTCTCATTGCGTATAAAAATTATGTTGGTGTTGACTTTAAATCTATGGGCTCTTTTTGGTGTAGAATAGGCAGTTCCTGAAAATGTGCTTTGATAGAAATGAAATAAGTATTTTTTAAAATGTCACAGCCATTCTTACACTCTAAGAATAAAGAATAAGTAGATGCAACCTGATAACAGAGTTCATACTTCCTCTTGTAATGCATTTTGATCCCATTCAACCTTTTATTAGGTACTTGGAATCTTTTTAAAAAATTAAAAATTAATAGAAAAAACAACAATCTCAAAAACGATTCTTGGAATGGATTAAATCCTTTCACCTTTTCTTCATTCTTGATATTATTATAGATGTTCATACCTATGATTCAACCAAAATGTTGCTCTTTCATCATAGACAAGTTACCCTGAAAATGTCATTTTTAGTTAAAACAAAAACCAACATGTTAGCATTATTGTAATCAGAAAATGAAGTCGGATGTGGTTAAGAAAAAACAACAGTGCCACAGAGGAAATGTTGGCCTTGATGTAGCTTAGATTGAATTTACTTCCAAATGGATAACAATTTAATGAGTTTGGTTGTCTAAACCTCATCCCTTGGGGGCACTTGAGCACATCACAGAACCTCCATACTTCAGCTCAAGTGTCAGCGTTTACTTGTAAAACATCTTGGACCAGAAAGTGAAGTGCTTAAAATTAAGGATCTGAGCAGTGTTCTTGCTTTCTGGTTGCTGGCAGCAGAGCTTGGCTTGAGAAATTTTAGTCACACTTATTAGACTGCTTTCATTAAAAAAAGGATTAGATGATTATTTGTCAATTTATGACTGCCTTTTGCCAATACCAAATGAAACTTATCCTGAGCCAAGAATAAGCTCTTTACGTTTCTATTAGCTCCAAACCGATGGCAGAGCTCTGCAGCTCTTTGCATTTCTGTTAGCTCCAAAAAAGTTGGGTGAGTACTTTCAAGGAGTATAAGCATTAAGATGGGGGCTAGAACTTGGCCTTTCATCTTCTTAGAAGAGGATGAAGTTCATTTTAGTGGTCAATGTTTTGAGTCACAGATTGGGGTGTTAGCGTTTCATCTCACACTGTCATGATTACCTTTAAAATGACTTCTTTTAGCAACCTCTGTTGTCAATTGAACCGTTTTTAGCCCTAGTCTTACAATGCAGATTTTCCTTATATGAATCTAAATGAGAAATGAAGTGGTCCTTGGCTGTGGATAAGTGAAGCCACTCCTAGCACTACCCCGGTTCTGGGACCTGTCAACCTGTGGATGCTTTCAATCCTGTTGATTGTTGTGTTGAGAAAGTCATATAGAGGTGTGCTGTAGACTTGAGGCACAAGTAACCGTGGAGATATGTATTACTTCATCCTTTCTAATGGCTGGATCGCATGATACACAAAAAACAGGAGCCCTTTTGCCTTTTGTGACTGACTGTCTTATGTTGGATTTAATCATCACATACATGAAATAACTGAACTGGACACAAGCATGGAATGAGCTCTTATTATAATTCATTGGGCAGGGGAAATTAAATTTCAGAGGGGAAAAAACTGATGTACTTGGACATGAGGGCCCAGAGCATAGCTCTGCTTTAAAACAAAGAGATTACAGCCCGGCTTTCATGGCCCAGTGATTGAGCATTGACCTATGAATCAGGAAGTCATGGTTCAATTCCCTATCAGGGAATATGTCCAGATTGTGGGCTAGATTCCCATGTGCAGGAGGTGGCTAATTGATCATTCTCTCTCACCATTAATGTTTCTCTCTCTCCCTCCCTGTTCCTGTCTGAAATCAATAAAAATATATATTAAATAAATAAAACCAAGACTACAAGAGAAAAGTGTGACTTTAGCATATAGTTTTTTCCCACTTTCCTTTTGGACAAACTTTGGTTACATATTAACACTTTTAGTCTCCACCTTCAAAATCTAGAGGAAGAAATATTTCCTAATGTGTCAGAATTCTTCCTCTCACTAAAATACATTTTAGTATTTTTCCTAAATATAAATTTACATGAGTTATAATTTCTTTTGCTTTCAGATGTTTGGACACCCTCAATATTTACCTTCTCTTTCCTAGTCCAACCTGATTCGTGAAATGGACTGAAGCTGAAAATTCACCTACTTCTTTGTCTGAATTTGAGACACAATTGGGATGACCTTAAGTGCACGCGACTAGACTCCAACCGCAGCTATGAGTTCAGATGAGAAGGGCATATCTCCGGCTCATAAAACATCTACTCCTACCCATAGAAGTGCCTCCTCTTCAACGTCCTCCCAAAGAGAGAGTAGACAGGTAAGAGAAGAATATAAAGTGCATTTTGTCATTTTATGCAAACACAGTACCATTAGGATATGATGGGGTTGCTAATTCATTCTGAAATTTTGTTGTGAAGATTTTTATTCCACAGGAAAACTCACTGATTTCTGTAGATCTATCTGGAATAGAGGATCCTGCTCTTGCTTTTCTGTTATTTAGGATCCTTTCCTAGAGCACAGAGCACAGGAAGGGTAGCTAAAAGCCCTGGGGAATTTTCCCACTCTGCACCTGGAGGCAGGAGCCAGCTATTGGACCTTAAATGTTATGCTCTCCCTCTCTTCATCTGTGGAGATAGAAAAACAAGGGTCTCCTTCCAATAACTCTCACTGGTCGCAAAGCACTAACTTCTGTTTGGTGTTTCATGGAATCTGGTAACAAATTCAAGAATTATAAATAAAATTGTAGTATCGTGATATTAAGGGCAGTAAAAACTCAGGAAATGTTGAAAGTCAATAGAGAAAGTGAATTATTGTTGCTTAATTATCCCAGTGAGCCAACTCTGTAAGTTATTTTTGTTCTCAGACTTAATTCGTTGCTACCTACCTCAGTGGCTATTCCACCGTCAGAGTGTGGGGATTAGTCGTATGAATTGTCTATTGTTGCTTAATTATCCCAGTGAGCCAACTCTCTAAGTTATTTTTGTTTGCGGACTTAATTCGTTGCTACCTCAGTGGCTATTCCACAGTCAGAGTGTGGGGATTAGTCGTATGAATTGTCTTCATTGTCAAACAGGTGATTGTTTTATCCAGTCCTTGTCTCTGTGTTACTAGTTACCATTATAATATTATCTGTGATAGGATTTTTGTTCTGTAACTGGAAGTTCAGAGTAAGCCAGTGTTGTTAACTTTTTATAGAATCTTTAAAAAAAAAAAAAAAAGACTCTTAACCTTTGCAACAGCATGGATGAACCTGGAGAGCATTATGCTGCATGAAATAAGCCAGTCAGAGAAAGATAAATATCACACAATCTCACTCATTTGTGGAACATAATGAACAACATAAACTGATGAACAAAAATAGATCCAGAAACAGAGAAGCATCGAACAGACTGTCCAACCTTAGAGGGAAGTCAAGGGAGGGTTGGTTGGGGGGTGGTTAAGAGATCAACCAAAGGACTTGTATGCATGCATATAAGTATAACCAATGGACACAGACAGTAGGAGTGTGAGGGCACGTGCTCTGAGGGTGGGAGCAGCTGGGGAGAGGTCCATAGGGGAAAAAAGAGACATATGTAATACTTTAAGCAATGAAGAATTTAAATTAAATATATATATATATATATATGCTGGTTTCTGGAAGTATAAACATCACTTACTCAGTTGTCCATATATAGATCTGGGCCTGAGCCAGTTCCAGATGTGATTTCATTCTTTTATTTATTTTAAATATATTTTTATTGATTTCTGAGAGGAAGGGAGAGGGAGAGAGAGATAGAAACATCAATGATGGGAGAGAATCATTGATCGGCTGCCTCCTGCATGTCCCCTATTGGGGATCGCAGCCCATAACCCGAGCATGTACCCTTGATTGGAATGGAACCTGGGACCCTTCAGTCCGCAGGCCGACACTCTATCCACTGAGCCAAACTGGCTAGGGCTGAATTCACTTCTGGGCTTGTTCCATGGAGAACATTCAGTCTACAGACCCTCCCAGCTCTCCCTCTCCCTCTTCAGCAAGAGATTCCAGGAAAATCTATAAGAATCAGGGATTCCTTATGTTTATATCTTTTGCAGATTCTAAACAGATACTTCTACTATGGATCATAAGGAATTTTGACTTTGCTGTCCTTCGTTATAGAGTTCAAATAGGAGATCTACATTCTATTTATTAGAAGCAGTCATACTATTAAGTAAATCTGTGATTACACACAGTTATAATGTTTATTGCATTGCATTTGTAAAGTAAAGTAAGAGTACCATGAATGAAAACATATTTATATTAAATAACCACTGCATGCTGAGAAGATGTTTTCTATGTTTACCCATTTTAGTCTACCTGTCACCTGCTCCTCCATCCTTTCTTGTATGGCTTCTCCATTTCCCTCGTGCCTTGGGCATTTAAATGAAGGACATTTTTAGCAGCATGGCCTTTCTGGCAGCTGGAGGAAAGAAGGGATAGACCCAGCTCACCCTGGAGCATTGTGGTAAATGGAAAACTGATGACTGCCGTAGAAACATCTGTCACCATTGTTGATCTGCCTGTTGCACCTGAGCTCCAGGACTAGCTTGCAAAACAAAGAAAAACTGAGACTGGTCTGCCAGAGGGAGTTTGAAGGTGGAATGTGTGGCTCCCAGCTGGCCTGTGCATGGAAAGGTGTACGATGGGAATAAAGTAATCCTATCTAATAAAGAGGGAATATGCTAATTGACCCTCATGCTGTCACAAAAGATGGCAGCGCTCAGAGCCAATAAGGAGGGAATATGCTATTTGACTTCCACGACCTCAAAGATTGTGGTGCCCACAGCCAATAAGGAGGGAATATGCTAATTGACTGCCATGCCCTCAAAGATGGTGGTGCCCAGTCCCCTCAGCCCCACTAGGGCGCCTGCCTCCAGAGTCCCGTGCAGGGCCGGTCTGAGGCGCAGGCAAGCCTCAGATGGAGGATGCCCAGCCGCCCAGGGCCGCCTGAGACTCAGGTAACCAGGGCTGGCCGAGGTTTGTGCTGCTGGCAGTGGCAGCAGCAAAGGTGTGATGAGGGATTCACCTTCTCCTGATTGCCAGGTCGCCTCCTGCCCGTGAAGGCTCCTGGACTGTGAGAAGGGGGCAGGCCGGGCTGAGGGACCCCCCCTACAGTGCATGAATTTTCATGTACCGGGCCTCTAGTCTATTCATAAATGAATAATGAATTCTAGGAAACTAGGAGAGAGTGCTCAGATGTTTATTATTATATAAGGAAAGAGTTTGCTTTCATTCCTGTTTACATCAGCAAGTGGGAACTCTCCCAGATACTTTCTCCTCTGGTTCCTTCCTGCCTCCTGTTTTGTGTCTTTTCATCTTTCTCAAGGGAAAGAAGGAAAGAAAGAACAATTACAGTTCTGTTTTTTCCCTCCTATCTCAGTTACTTCCTAGAATGCAGTATTGACTTGTGGAAATTAGGATTTTCAGTGATCTTGTGATGTGATATGATAGTGTTTTTATAGGCATTTGTTTTTGTGTGATGGCTGTTTTCATAGTGAAGGGACATAGAGAAATTGTGATGAATTAGTCTTCATTGAATGCTACCATTCTCCTGATTTGACTGGCAATTTGGCAGATGGTGCCAAATTGCAAAGTACATCCCTATTTCTCTCCTAAATTGAACATACAGGTAAAGGATCTAGCACATAGCTGAGAATACAGTGATGCCTTAGTGTACTTTATTTGTCTCTCCTTCCCATGTTCTAGCCCTAGATTACTAATGAATCAGTTGGGCATTTCTACTTAAATGTACCACTGCCACCTTAAATCAATATGTGTGAACAGTTTGCTATTGGGATAATCATTCTGTTATTGACCTAAGGTCAAAGCCATTCCTTTCCACTTTACCTCTCTCTCATTCAAAAGGTTAAAAAGTTCTATTGATTATTTTCTCCAGATATCATAATTTCTTTCTTTTCTTACTGTTCACTCCTTAGCCTGGACTCTCATCACCTCAACCCAGGATCCTGCAGAGTACTTTTGTCTCACCTTCTCCACATGGCCTCATGTGGAAAAAACAGAAATGGTAATGTTCCTCCTTACTTTCTTTTCTTACTGTTCACTCCTTAGCCTGGACTCTCATCACCTCAACCCAGGATCCTGCAGAGTACTTTTGTCTCACCTTCTCCACATGGCCTCATAAGATCAAATTCCCTAAATATGGCAGATTCATGCTCAGAATCCTTCAAAGACTCTTAGCGACCTACACAATTAAGGCCATATTTTCTCACTTGGTATTCAGTAACCACCATGAACTAATCCAGCCTCAGTGTCCCATTTTCCTCCCAACCTGTACAGTCTTATCTGCTCACGGTTCCTAAAAGTGCCATATCTCTTTCTCTGGCCTTGTCTTTCCTGCATGGAATTCCTACCATCCCGCTCTCAACCTGATACCTACCTATGCTTCAAGGGCTGGCTCATGGGACCCTTCCACTGGCCCCTCAGACCCACATTGCCCTTTCCCCCCTCTAAACTTTTATGAAACTTTTTGACAATATGTGACATATATATTAATGTACTGCACTGTGAGCTCTTTTACAGACTACACACTCTAATTCTTCAGATGAGCCTTGCACCTCAAATGTTTTAGTATATCCTAGAGAATATTTTTAAAGACCTGTAACAATATTAGTCTTGTCTTTTTATTACAAAACTTCCATTCCAGATTTATTTGTCTTCTCCCAGCTTCCTTCCTCGTAGATAAAGAAAACAAAGAACGTTTGCCAAATACGTAGTAGGAACTGGCTGTCCTTCCTCTCTCTAAATTCTGTAGCCCAACAGGTGAAGAAGGGAGAGAAGTTGGGAAATTAAGTGTTCCTGTGATTTCACTCAGTGTTTCTTCATCAACGAGAAGGTCAAGACTCCACTCAGTATTTAACAAGTTGGAAGACTAATAAATGCTCCATTTATGTTTTGGCCATTAGATGTTAGACATTAGATGTTAGAACATCTAACAAAATTAGCTGTGTGTGTGTGTGTGTTATCAACTATGACTCATAAGCTGCAAGTAAAATACGTACTAAAATTTTCAAAAAGGAAATAAAGGAGTTGATTAGACATGTATGACTTATGCATAAATAAGCATTTCCCATGTATGCACCAAGGAAAACTTGTCCCTTGAGCTATTGCATGAAGAAAGAATTCATTTGTCAAGTAAGTTAGAGAAATGCTAATCACAATCTTTCTTTGCAATGTATATTAATAACTTAAGGACACCAATAAAGTCTGTGGTTAGAACTTTATTTAACTGAGTACTTCTAGAATTTTGTCATTGTGGAATTTATTCTATTTCCCCAAGT